TTTTTCACCTTCTTTTTACCCGTGTTTCCTTTTGGCTTGGTATTCTGCTGTTGTCTAAATACTTGCTTTTGCAATACTTGCAATACAATTTTCGAGTTCGTTTCCTCCATTTGGTATCGACATTCTTCATGTACAAGTAACTGAAAACTTTCCTAGCCTAACGTTCCTCTCCCATTTTTCTCAATCGCTCCTCAAATTCTATCTTGCTTCTAGCTTCCCTGCACTCAAACGATGTCCATCCCATGTCTCCCCGTACCCCCTGATTTGGGGTATTCCCATGCGCTCCCAAAGCAAGTCTACCTATGCCACGTTGTTTTATTTCCAATCTTGCTTGAAAGCTCCCGGCTGCGGCGGCTGCATTTCTGATGGAGGCAGAGACGTTGTAGGCCCGTGTGCTCAGATTTGTGTGCACGTTAAAGAGCCCCAGGTGGTCAAAATCTCCGGAGCCCTCCACTACGGCGTCTCTCATAATCATATGATGATTTTGGGACGTTAACCCCCACAAATCAATCATCATGACAGGAGGTACGTCTGTGCAGCCGCAGGTTGATAAAGAACGAATGCGAAATAGTGGAGTGTCAGCAAGGCCAAGTAGAGTGTAGATAAAAAGAGAATGTTCACATGGTAATTGTTTTATTTGCAATTTACTTCTTAAACGACGCTTTAATTGGTCACATGAGAAATCTTACGTAGACACTGGAAGTCACTACGTGCCCAATAAAAAGCGTTGCATCACTAGAATTTTTTAATGGTTAACTACAAGCCGCGAAAGCATGATGCGAGGTGGTGAGCTTGAAATTTTTGCCACTGGCCCGGTGTAGACTTCGCTGCCAAATTCCTTCCCTGCTCTCTTCGGAACACGGAGCCGGAAGATCACACGACGCAGACTCATCAACGCGCCATGCGGACGCAAGGTTACATTCGCGTGGCATGCCATGCCGGGCACGCCGGCGGTGTTGTGTCATTTCGACGTTTTCTGTATTGCCCTGCCTGTTTCTGAGGGATGGATCCCTCTATGCGCGCACGTTTGGAGAGGTTGGCATGGATCTTTACCACGATACTCAGCATCGCACCACTTGAACTGCTCTAAGGGACGGTCCACTTAAAACACGCCAAACATTGTCAGGGCAGGCATGATGCGAGAACGACGAGAACACCAACGCAAATCGGAAATGGAGGTAGCTTAGTCTCGCATCTCGCTCGATACGAAGTTAAAAAAAATATAACGCACATAGATTCCGTTTGTATGTTTTAATATTTATGTCAACCTTCACCTATCTGTTCAGGCAACAGAGTGCACAAATTACACACGGCGCCACGAATAATTCTCGCAGTGTCACGGACTACTTTGACGTACGCAGGGCCATCCCTTGTTGTATACGTAACCTCCACCATGTTGGGGTGCGCGCCCGTGAGACGAGGCTCAAGCGGCGTTCAGTGTGACATTTCATTTCTTTCCTGGGCGCGTGTATCATTGCAAATCTTGGCAGATGACATCGTGAGCACCCAGTGAATGGATTCCTCTTGCCTGCTCGAAATTCTCAAATCTGGTCAAGGGCCCTTTAAGGGGTTTACAGACAGAAGAGAAATTATTCCTGTGTGCTTAGCCCAAGTTAATACGAGGCAAACAGACCCTTCTGGCTTATTAGCTATCTAGCCATTTGCAACCGCGTTGTTTTTTTCAGCCGTGCCGAAAAGAAAGAGATCCAGGAGCCTGTTTATTCGATGATGGATCACTTAACTCACCATACTGGACTAGAAAAGAAGAGACCGTATTCTGCAAACCCTGCGGGAAAGAAGAAATACATAGCTATACTAATAAACCGTCGGCGCACTTATGTCATCATAAACATTTCTGTTTGTTTTCCTGTCGTAGACACAAATCCGACATGTATTCATTCGAAAATTTGAATTTTGTCGAAGTTTATGAAGACTGTATTTACAATTTCGGGGGACCCAAAAAACAGTTTTGCCCGCCTATTTTAAAGACGATAAACTTTCTTGGGGACCTTCGACGGAAAAGTTTTGGTCTGTCTGTCTGTCTGTCTGTCTGTCTGCCTGCCTGTCTGTCTGTCTGTCTGTCTGTCTGTACATTTGTCTGTTTGTCCGCCCTAACGATACTTCAAACGGCACCAAACGGCCAACCCCATCCGCAGTGCCCACCAATATTTCTCAAGGTTTAGCGTTCATAGTTTTGCGATTGTAAATTTAAAAAGCAAATATTGCGCATATCTGAGGCGCCATAACAACGTGTCTATAATTTGTATGTCTGCCTTTATACTAGAAGAGGCACACACAAATAACTCTAAGGATGGTAGCGTTTAACGCGCTGCGCTGACAGTGCCACGCGATGCTCAAGAAGGTGTTTCCAACGCTTTGCTACGACGGCACGGTGCGTGGAACCTGCCCGCCGCTTTGCATTCTACACCTTATCACCTCCGTGACAGGCGTGACAGTTTTCGAAGATAACTGCCAGATGGCGCTCGTGTATAACGTCCGGGAGCGTACGATAGCGTGGTTCAAGAGGAATTGTGGGGAATACTGGACACACTAGGCGTGGAACATGTAGTCACTAATCTTTTAAAGGGTATCTATAAAGGTAACAAGGTAGTTATAAAGTGGGAAAAACAGGTATCCAAGCCTGAAGAGGTAAAACGGGGGCTTAGGCAGGGGTACCCCCTGTCACCCTTATTATTCATGATGTACCTACAAGGATTAGAGGCAAAATTAGAGGGAAGTGGGCTGGGCTTCAACCTCTCTTTAGTCAAACAAGGAAAACTTATTGATCAGGCACTACCAGCATTAATGTACGCAGATGATATAGTGCTAATGGCCAACAACAAGGAAGATTTGCAGAGATTGATGGACATCTGCGGTAATGAGGGAGATAGGTTAGATTTTAGATTCAGTAAGGAAAAATCAGCAGTCATGATTTTCAATGACAACGAAAGTAGTGAGCTTAGAATACAGGAGGTCACGCTAGAGATAACAGATAAATACAAATATCTGGGCGTATGGATAAGCAATGGGACCGAGTATCTGAGGGAACACGAAATATACGTGACGACTAAAGGTAACAGGAATGCAGCAGTCATGAAAAATAGGGCACTGTGGAATTACAATAGGTATGATGTTGTGAGAGGAATATGGAAAGGGGTCATGGTTCCTGGGCTGACATTCGGCAATGCTGTCTTGTGCATGAGATCAGAAGTTCAAGCAAGATTAGAAATTAAGCAACGTGGAATAGGTAGGCTTGCTTTAGGAGCTCACGGGAATACACCAAATCAGGGAGTACAAGGTGATATGGGATGGACATCATTTGAGGGCAGGGAAGCTAGCAGCAAGATAAAATTTGAGAAGCGATTGAGAGAAATGGGGGAAGAGCGTTGGGCTAGGAAGGTTTTCAGCTACTTGTACATGAAGAATATCGATACAAAATGGAGGAAGCGAACCAGGAAGTTGACTGGTAAATACTTAGAAAACAGCAGGTGGCCAAACCAAAAAGAACTATCGGTTAAGAAGAAAGTGAAGGAAACGGAGACTGACATGTGGAGAATGGGCATGATTGAGAAGTCCGCACTAGAGATCTATCGAACTTTTAAGCAGGAAATTGCCTAGGAAAGGATCTATGATAATACTCGGGGTAGTTCTCTACTGTTTGAAGCCAGGACGGGAGTACTGCGAACCAAGACATATCGGGCCAAATACGAAGGGGTAGACACAGTATGCAGTGCGTGTGGAGAGGAAGAAGAAACTGCCGAACACTTGATAATGTTCTGTAAAGGGCTTCACCCTATAGTTCAGGATGATGGCACAGAGCTTTCAAAGCACTGGGATTTAGGGACAGCGAGGGCAAAATAGACTTTAAGCGGGTAGACTTAACTAGAAGGAGGTTATCTGATTGGTGGCTAAAGTCAAGGCACGAGTGAAAATTAAATCCTTCACTGCGAAGTACGAATCCTCAACTTCATTATTTAAAGAAAAAAAAGATAAAAGTAATGGTTAGTTCACTAAGTATTACGGCTAGGTGGCGTTAGCCGCCGCCCGATCTAAAGGGTACAGCCACATCCATCCATCCATCCATCCATTCATCCATCCATCCATCCTAGATGCGCTTGTTCGCCTCCGTTACACGCCCGAGGCACTCTAACGCAGCGCCTTCAGAATACCATTCACCAATTTTCTTGCGCAGAACATCAAATAAAAGTTTTGTTCACTCTCTCCACACGCAAGACAATCGTCTTTCGACGACATTTACAGTGTAACATGTAGATTCGTGCCAATTTATTGTTGTATAAAACCTGGTTTTCAACTGCCTACAAATCCAACCTCTTATCATAACCTAAACGAGCAGGCTTCCAATGTCAAGCGTATTCAGGGTGACATACTGGCGACGACTGCACATACTTTCTCGAGCAGTGTTTGCGTGGGCTGGTGGTGACTCGTCACCCCGTAATCTCCCTAATCACGCGGTGACCTCGGCATTGAGAGATCGACGCGCGATGTGACGCATGCTCTTGACCCGTACTCGTACGCGCTGCCGTGCCCCTCTGCCCTACACGGTGAACTAGAGTGGAACCCCCGTGTCCCAATGCACGATTCGAGATCCGGGAAAGCAGAAGAAACCTTTACAACAGAGAAACTCTCAAGAAACTGAACACTGCGTATTGCAGTACTGCCAGCGACTCAAGAGGGCAGTATGATATTGAATAAACATGGATAGTGCTGAACGTGAATAATAGGAATGTCTACTAGAATGGGTACCATCCAAACTCGCACCAAAGCAAACATCTTGGGACATCCTTTGTAAAATAAAAAAAAAAGATTATACTTTTGCAGACAGGAAATGTTTAATTTAAGCTGGAATTAAGTCATGTCGATCATTTCTTTCTCAACGGTATAACACGCGCGTCGCTATCATCATCGAGTCAATGGCTGCAGGTCTTTAGCATATTGTAGTTCACGATCTGCGGGACAAGACTGTACCCTTTATAAGGACCATGTCGAGATGTGAAGGTGAGGCTTCCGAACTTGATGAATTATTCGAGAACGTTGTCTTAGAATGTGAGCTCGCCGAGGAAGAGACGCGTCTCTCATACACGGTCCGCAACGAACTAGAGCGGCTGACGCGAGAGCAAAGAAAAGAAATAGTATCACGTGTTATCGAGGGATGCGCCCCTTTATTTGTTGCTTGCAAGAAGGGCAGCGCAAATATAGTGGAATACTTTATATCAATGTGTGGAGCAGACCCAAACCAACGGGGAGTGTACAAGATGACCGACAGCCGCTCGATGCACACTGTGACACCATTGTGGTGCGCCGCGGTTGCAGGAAAGCTGGCTGTCGTCAAACAGCTTATCAAGCATGGCGCGAATGTGAACAGCGTGTCGGACACGGGCTCGACGCCAGTTCGCTCCGCATGCTTCATGTCGCACCTCGAAGTAGTGATGTACCTTGTCGACCATGGTGCCGACATCGCCATACCAAATTACAACGGTGGCACCTGCCTCATCAACTCTGTGCAGAACGTAAGACTGTGCCGTTTCCTGCTGCACCGTGGCGCAGACGTCAATGCGCAGGACGTGCAGAAAAACACAGCGCTGCACTACGCCATCCAGAAGCATCGGCTCGACGCGACGCGACTTCTTCTGCAGCAGCACGCTAACCCGTTCCTGCGAAATCGCTACGGCGATGACCTGCTCCAGACTGCCTGCCTTAATGGGGACGTGGAAATATACACCCACCTGGTCAGCACATTCGAGTACAGTGACGCGCGCCGTGCTGAGGCCAATGAGCTGATGGGCACCACATTTCTGGATAAAGAACATGACGTGCAGTCGGCGCTATTTTACTGGAGACGAGCGCAGACGCTGCGCGAGCGAGAGAGTGTGCCCAAGCCCCTGGGCGAGCGGCGACCAGCCTTTCAGATGGCTGAGGAGTACGTGACCGCCGAGCAACTGGACGCGCTGGCGGATGACCCGGACGCGCTGTACACGCAGTCACTGCTCATGTGTGAGCGCATCCTGGGCCCGCAGCACAAAGAGACCATGTCACGCATCATATACCGCGGCGCTGTGTGCGCCTACAACATGCAGTACCAGCGTTGCGTCGACCTGTGGCAATACACGCTCCAGCTTTACGTCGCCAAGGACACGCTCCTGCACAACGAGGCGGGCCAGTTGATCGCAGCTCTGGCGATCCTCTACCTCGTCAAGCTAGACAAGGGCCAAGTGGGGCTGCTGCATGACCGGCTGCGGCTCGAGGACGTGCTGGCCATGGCGACCCTGCTGGTCGACTGGTGCGGCAAGTCCGCGCGGCTGCTCACCGAGCGGCCCATTTATCAGCCGCACATAAACAACTTTGACAAGCTACTGCACGTGCTCACGCACCTGCTGCACGTGCTCAATGCGCTGCCCAAGCACGACGCCGCGGAAGAGGCGGCTGTGCGGCACCTCGTGTGCTGTGCCTTGGCGCAGCAGCCACGCACTGCGTCCGGTGACTCCCTGCTGCACCTGGTGGTGAGCCGCCAGAATACTATAAAGGTGACATTCTTCGAGGAGGCGCACGCGCGAGTGTTTCCCGACGCGTCGCTGGCCGCCCTGCTGCTCGAATGCGGCGCCGACGTGGAGGCGATCAACGAGGCCCGCAGCACGGCTCTACACGTGGCTGCGCTGCGCAACAACTTCGACCCCGAAGTGGTGCAGACGCTGCTGCACTACGGCGCCCACCTAGACCGGCGCAACGCCAACGGCAACCAGCCGCACCACATGCTGGCCGGCATCAGCGAGTGCATGATCAACCCTCTCGAGCACATTAACCTGCAGTGCCTCGCCGCCCGCAAGATCGTGGAGCACCGGATCCCTTTCACCGGCGAGGTGCCGAGTGCACTCGAGAACTTCATCCGAATCCACTGACGCCAGCAGGACATGCGAGGAGTGAATGAGTACTTGCCTCTCCACCTACGTAAGATGCAATAGCCATACTTTCGCTCTAGAATGATGCAGATGTGTTGATCATACATCTCGTTGTTTTCAATGAACATGTATTGTAGCATTTAAAGTACACGACGATGTGTGTCAGAATGTTCACATATTCATTAGTGAATATTTATTATGCTTGTATGTTTATTGTGAGAAACGAAGAGGAGACCCGGACCCAAACGTCTGGCTTTATCGAAGGTGAACGGAACTAATCGAGCCAGCACCCGTGGCTGTAGCTGGTGCCCGCCGCCCCTTCTTCCTCCTTTATTTGTAACACACTCCTGCGGCCGGCAAAGTTGTGCACGTTTTATGAAAGCTTTCAATGAGTCTGCTCATCTTAAACGGCGACGGAAGCGCTTTGCCAACAAAGATAAAACTAAGCGAGGTGGTGGCTTGTCTTGCGGGGGAAGCCGTCCATTCGAACTGTAGCGTGAAGATGACTTCACCATCACGTTGTTTCCCACTTTTGGGTCACAGTGAGGAACAAAACAACTGAACGAGCCAGCGCCCGTGGCTGTCGCTCCTGCCCGCCACCTCTTCTTCCTCCTTTATTCGTGACATTTATTATGCATATTCTTTGTTTATTACGTTTATAGTGTGTAGTGAGACGCTTCAAATTTATAATGTGGATCAGTTCGATGTTTCAGTTACAAGTGTTCTTTCTATCGTCTCTGTGTTAATGTTTTTTTTATTTTTCTTAAAAGCTACAAAAACACGTTTGTTTGGATTAATTTATGTTCAGCTATGCTTTTACGAGCATAATTCTTTTTTGCCTGTGCATTAACCTCTTTATGCATTGTACTTTTTTTTGCCCGCCCACTGTTTGTTGCAAAAAAAAAGGGGGGGGGGGCACAGACCTTGTGAAGCCGTTATGTGGTTTTTTGTCTGTTTTCGTGCTATCTATCGCATGTATAGATGCGAATCAAAGTTCAAAGTTCGAAATATGCAAGTTCACCTTTTTTTTGCCAACCCTCAGAAAAGGCTACCGAGTATAATTTTTTTCTCCCATGTTAAAACTATGTGTCCACGCAGCGTTCTGTTGCATCGAGGCTGTGGAACTGAAATAATTGGCTTGCTTAAACAGTAGCAGTCTGGTGATAGACATGGTGAAACATGCATAGTTTTTGTGTACGCCTAAACCAAGTGCCAAAACGATTCAAGATGTGACTGTTGACTGCATTTGTGACCACTCTAGTTCAGGTCCACACCTGAGAGTGTGAAATTCTGCATTCTGATGCTACCATCTCGTTAGTCATGGCATCTAAACTGACCAGGACCAACTGTGCAAAAATGACTGTGCAGCAGCAGGACGGAGAGAGGGGCGAGGTCATTTTGCAAGCTGTCAGTTGGAGATTCAGCAATGGTGCTGTTCTGGCCTTGTAAATACCTGTCCAGGCAACTTGCCTTTTTATGGATGAACAATTCAATAAAGAATTATTGCAGAATGAGGCGTATTTTCATATATTTTCATAGAATTTCCTAATGAGCATCATGGCTACCAGCACGCATGCTGTTGGTTAGGTATTTAATAAGGGTGTACATAGTTCATTTTAAGGTGTGTAAAAACACTATCACAAGAGAAGATACGGGACAAAGCGCCATTAACAACAGTTGCTAGTGGTGCTCCGTCCTGCGTCCTCTATTATGATAGCTTTTTCGTGCCTTAAAACTCGCCCAACAGAAAGTTCTCTCAATAATGATGGATACATGCATGGGCTTGTTGGGACTGAGCCATTTCTGAAGTTTCCGTGTCGCGCTGCAAAGGAGATGGATTCCAGCAACAAACATTTGACGCATGGCACTATGCTTGAGAAAAAAACAATTTTCGTTTCCCCAGCAGTATTTGTACCACTCGTGCACTATCACAAGATACGCGCACTTCATTGCACGAAACAACCAAATCGCGAGGCACTTTTCAAACTGGCCTAATCACTTAAGCAAACATTGTAACTCGTTCTCAATATAAAGAAATCGATGGGTTGCCAACACTGGCGTTACCAAGTGCGGCTGAGTTGCCCGCTTCCATAATCAGCTGAGTTAACACACAAGACGACCTGCTCAAGGCGCATGCTTCACTGAAATGTGGTTTGCACCTGCATTTCGAGCAATGGAAGGTGAAGCAGCTATCAGTCGCCACATTCCTAACTTTGTTAGATTTCTCTCGCAGCAGGCATCTCCCCGCTTAGCCTATGTATCTTTTCCCACATGCAAGGGGAATTCCGTATACCACAGATGTGGCACACTCGATTACCTTTTTGTGCTTTTTTTTTTCATTCACATATGGTGGGACTCCTTCTGGCCTCGCGTTCCAATAGAGGTTCACAAGCTTGTTAGGTGCAGAAAAAAACATCACTGTTGCCTTTTTGAGCTACTTTTCTGATTCTATGGAATGCATGGCGGCATGGTTCGTACTGACACTGCAACATGCATCATC